ATATTGCTAGATAGTCATAGACTCAAGTAGCACGATAAACACACACACAGGCTTTGTATTTTTCGACTTGAATTACTCATTGAATTTGATTTCATTTAGCCCGATTTGGCGTCTCAAGGCCCATGCAGGTGTCTACGAACTCTAATATTTATATGGGAGGAAACCTTTATGGTAAAACGCCCTCAACTTTTCAATTTAAATACACTTTAAGTTTGTGTTACCTTCACCAAGTGCACTAACACTGTTATATCCAGTGCGGATACCGTCCACTTCATTGCTACTGACAGGAGACCATATTTCCCCTTCCCTCCTCTCTCTCCCGAATCCTGGCCTCGACTTCAAGCGTCAGTCGAAACTGCTCTAAACTTCCTTCCTGCTGTATCCATCTAGTTATCCTTGCAATATCTTTGGGACTGTTTATTATGGCCTCAAATGACCGGTTCTCTGCCTTTCTCAGTATTTCTCCTCTAACTTTGGCCCAGCTGGTGCAGGCCATGATCATATGCTTCACATTCTGAGATGGGTATCCACATCGTCATCGTGGATTAACTACTACTGGAACTTTTCTTCTGTGCAGATAAGAATTGAACCCAATGTGCTCGCTCCTTATCTGCATTGCTATGCTGCTCTGGGCCCTGCTCAGGTGAAATTGATTTACCCCTTGTGGGTATAAATAGCGTCGTAAATATTTAGTGAGAGATGGCTGGTAATTAATGGAGCAGCTCCTTTATTGGTTGTTGAGGACTCAGATGAGAATGCTGAGTGCTACATGATTAAGAAGTCTTCAAATAGAGGTATGCTTGAGGTTGCTATCAACTATGATTCGATTGCGATTCTTCTTGGCTATCCAAGATATGCAGAGCATACTGAGCGATTATAGCGGCACCACTGGAAGGTGTATAATTCGTCTTTGCCGGCTAGACTTATTTGTATATATTAAACTAAGTTAACGGAGTATTGTATATTATTAATTCATATTGAGAAGAGGGTTCAACATCCTATACAACTATCAATAAAGTCTTGTCCGAGATTGTACACTTGTTCGAGATATTTCCTCATAGAAATCCTTGACAATCTCTCACAAGATATCCTGCTCCAGGGCTCGTAGATGACACGGTGGATAATTGATCATTCTCTGTACTCCGTCTACTCTCCTAATAGATTTCTAATCGTAGAACCTCAAGGACGATAGACTGCTTTGGTCGGGGAAAGTTTCTCAAGGCATAAGATCCGATATCCAGCTACTCTAAGACTACTGGGTTTAATGCCGATGTCGCCCCTTATATATTTTGGTTTGATTTCATTATCCTGATTTCACGCTTCATGGGCCAATGCAGGTGACTATAAACCTATAAACCTATCTATATATTTACATAGGAGGAAACCTCTTGGTGAAAACCTCCCCAGCTTTCTGATTTGTATCCTTGGAATTTGCAATTTATTCTTCCGGAAACACAGTTACACTGTAGTGCCGTCTGTGTGTACCAATCACGTCCCCTGTACCGACCCCAACCTTGTGCCAGTCCTGTATCGTTCCCTAATTAGCATTTTGACTGCATTTGCTATGCGGAATCGTTCTATTCAACAATTACTAAGAATCCATTGCGTAACTTTTCTAATATCACCAGGATTGTTTATCATTGCTTCAAAGGAGCGCTTTCGGACTTTTTCCAGATCTATCCTCTACCAACTAACCACCTAGGGCAGGACATGATCACGTGCTTGGGGTTTTGTGATTGTTAGCCACACGGACAGCATGGATCGTAGACTCCTGGTACCTTTCTTCTGTGCAAATACGAATTTAGCCCGAAGTGCCCGCTTCGAATTTCGATTATGAGGCTGCTGTAGGTCTTTTTCAGACTACGATAGAGGAGAAATGGCGATTCCTGGAAGCTTTTTCTATGTTGTCCAGAAATTCTGCATTGGTAGAGCCTAGTTTCTTTCCGAGTCTCAGGATCTGCTATAGCAAGTGTTTGGGGGCTGTCGACTTCGCTTTGAGGTAGACAAAAATTTCGCCCGTTCTAGGTATGCTACAACCGTCACAGCTTGTTTCTGTAATTCTTTGGATTACTCCTCTCCGCAAATTTCTCACTAGTAGACAAGGTCTGCTCTTCTATTATTTGCTCCAATATCTTCTCTCCTTCTTTTGGGCAGCTTGATCTTACTGCATGCAGATTGAACAGTTTTTTGGACTAGAAGTGAATTTGAACGGCCTACATATTGGACCCTTTGTTGCTTGAAGTATGTTTCTATCGGAAGGGTAGCGATTTTATGTTCCAGAACCCTGGTGCTAGTCGATTTATATGCCCCTGTGGCTGGCTTTAGGCAATTTCTTTGAGAACTTCGAGGGGGGTTAACTATTCTTTCAGGTATGTTACCCCCATGGTCCGGCCTCAGCCCAAATTGATGGACCATACGTTAGGGCTGGTCTCACTATTGCGCTGCAAAGCGGCTTTGAATTGTGAAAGGTGACTCCCCATGTGGACTGCGTCAACCTACTTCTGACCTGGATCTGTGTCTCAGCTTTCAGCTTTAGACTTTTGACGTGCACCCCCCAGTTCAGCTTTGGATCAAAATGTTGGAATTATCGCGTAATGAAGTGGGCGCAATTTTTGTGGAACGAAAGTAGAGGTTGACTAAAAGAGTGTCATGTTCGGATTACAGCTAAAAGTGTGGGAAGTGTGCGCTACAAGTACAAGTGTAGGAGACACAGAGCCTAAGCCACAGCATAAACGAGTGTGGCGCCATCTAGGCATAGAAAACCCACAATAACCTCCTTGTGTCCACGCTATGCAGCTGCTCATATATCCAATAGGTAGCCTGAAGCGCTACTATATTACCTATTCCAACCTCCTAAATACACATAAGATCGTGTCGGGAACCTAGACGAAATGAAGGGCCCGTACGTCCACAACACTCCGTGTCTCCATTTCCAACACAAAGTAAATTCCGAGAACGTGCAGAGAGGGATGTGGTGCTGCAGTATGGCCCCATCCATAACTCTGTCGATGCGTTTGTTGATGCCACTGGAGTCATGACCTACTCTTTTAGACGCCCTTGTCCCCTTTTAAGCTTTTTAACATTTTTACTGATTAATAAATTGAATAACTGGTCATTTATGGTTCCGATTATTCGCTGTGTTCCCATGGCTAGTATTTCATACTATATATCTGCTGTTCAACATGAGAAGTCCATTTGAGCTCTGGGAGTATGGGATAATCACCGTTCATACTTATTTTCTTCTAGTAAGAAAGAGGAATCAAATTTTTTGTAACTTAAAATTATTATTAATACTGTAACAAGCCTGTGTCATAAATACCTAAGTTAATGCTCTGACATTTTCCTTCGATGAGTAGTCATGGAGGAGGGTCGACTATTTTGTGTTAAGGAGCACATCCGATGGGTGTGTCATGTAGAGACATGATTCATTTATGAGTTGATATTGTTCAAACGATCATGACTGTATCACAACGTCATGTATAGACACAATTCATCGTTTGTACTTGTTGTATCAACCATGACTTTGTCTCAGTGATAGGAGAAATATCATCGACTAGTTACTAGAAACTTAGTTAAGATCCTAAACACACAACTGAGACTAGGAGAATTTTACTGAGTAAGTAATTATTCTGATGAATCTAGATCTAGAGGAACACAATCTGGTTGCTTGGCTCGAGGTATATGAACCGGAGCATATCATGTATAATAAACGATATAGAAATCTATCTCAATCACAATCATCATCTTAATTCATGTCACCATCAATAGCTGCAAAGGACAGTTTAACCGTTTCCTTAAAGGGTGTGTCTACGAAGGAGTTCCAGAGTTTGAGTGTCCGAAATTAAGAGTCACCCAACATTGACATACATGTTATGCTCAGCTATGTAGTATTGTAGATCTAGTAGCTGGTGTATAGGTAGTTATTATGGCAGCATAGCATTATGGCGCATGAAGGAGACCCAGTCTTAACATAACAACATTACAAGTAGTAATGTGTGCAGTACGAGAGATGGGTTGTTGATATAGGACAAATGTTATGGCTGCTCATTTGGGAGCACACTTTGGTGAGCTGCATACTGGTTACGTGATCGGTCTACAAGCGAACAAGTTAGGGGATGAGGGACGATCTTCCCCCAATCTGTAACATAACAATTATCAGAAACTTCACTTCTGTATATTAATGAAGATATCTCTCCACATACTTTCTTAGCTGTTCCAGCGCAAGTGTACATTCCCAAATCATATACCAATCATAATAATATATCACTAGTCTAGTACCCTAGCTAAAAAGCTGCATATATACTATATACAAGACAAAACATCAAAACTGTTGTAACATCAACGCAGAATCCTCAAAGCCGAAGTAGTTTTGTGGTAATCTGTTAGGTATAGGAGTCAGTAATGTGAGTAGGCAGTAGTCACACAACTTAGTGCGGTATGCCGTGTCACCCATATGGCAGACACGCCCGCAAGTTAGTAGAAGAATCATCACACCATCGAGAGACCCATTGCGTACGAAAATACGCATATATTATCGACCAACAAAATCTATAATATCCGTTCACCTGATCTTATATCATCAAAAGTTTCGTCAATATAGTAGACTCGTTCCTGTAGAATAGCAAAAAATTATAATATGAGTGAAGAAATATATTGATAAATGTTAATATGTATCTAAAGCCGACCAACACCAAAATTAACAGATATTAAATAAAAGTTACTCATCCAAAATTCAGGTTCTATATCCTCGATTATTATCATAGTGACTCTATATGCAATGTTCCAATGTAAATAAACTATCTTCCCTTAAATATTTGGCCTTGATTTAATGTTGCCGGAGGAAAAACACAAATCTAAAGGACGTGCCAACATTTCAACGATAGTAAAATTATTATTTTCAATAAAAGATTAAGTAAATAAATGTGAGTTACCAATTTATGACTCTAAATTAATAAGCTACTCGAAACTAGAAATAGATTGTAAAATTAAGCAGTAATTCACTAAATATACCACATCCCAGTACGTATCTTGATCATAGACTCTAAATTATCAGTAGTTCCCATGGGTGCTAAAGGTCTGACCTCTTCTAGAAGTTGAGAAGAGCCAGTGATAGATGTTGGAGCTTGATTAGCTGCATCTTGTCTAAGTTCCTCAAATTTTTGGCCGCCACGAGGACCCTCTGAAGCAAACACATCTTCATGTGCGCGGGCACGGTTAGATGCAAGATGTGCATAATAAACCGCTGGAACTATAGAATTGCATCAGCCTGTATACATTTATAGAATGAATTTCTTACCCAAAGATACTGGTGTTGTAGACCTAATATATTGATAGCACATGCCATACAGAAGCTTTTGAAAATCGTTTGGAGAGCTCTTTGCGTCATCCCTTATAACATGGTAGTGAACTGGACGAGCAGTCCCTTGAATTGCTGAATGTGAGTTGAGATAAAAATCATATTCGAAGGGGTGCGTAATGTCACGCTCAACTAGTGTACCTGGGAAGGAGTTGTTATTTCGATCAGCAGCTTGTCTATCCCCTTCTTTAGGGAAAAATCGTAAGTGATGACGCTTGGAGCAGACAGTAACAGTCCATTTAATCTAACCAGAGTTAATTTTAAGAAGTTAATAAAGCTACATACTCACTTGTCTTGCCATGGAACCAAATTTTTTCTCCAATATCTCTTTCATAACATCTACCTCTTTTTTTAAAACATGACTGTATTGACCCTCAGAGATACCATCACGGAAATAGTAAATTTGAGTGGGAAGTTTTCCTTGCCCAACATTTTTGACCCACTGATTAACAAGTGGAAGCATTTGGTTCTCGATAGTATTTCTACCAATTATTTCTACACGTCGTCCGTTAGTTTGGACAGCAGCAGCATATCTACAAGCATCAGCATCCATTGAGACCGTTATTGCAGCCATAGAAGCTTGGGGACTGCCAGGACTAGGGTGTGACACATCAGCTCCTAGAAAAATTTAGTAGTTACTTTTACAATAATTACAAATATACCTATGACTAAAGTAGGACTTGTGAAAATCTTTGGAATGCCTGGGAAGATAGCTTTCGCCGTTGTTCCACCCAGCTTTGCATTGACTTTCATGGCTATGTTACTGCAATACTGAGGTTGTGCCTTTTGCACATGAGCCACATTCATACCTATAGATGTCATTAAAGGCTGTGAGATAAGGAAAAGCGCATACACTGTGATACCGTCGTAAACCTGATCTCGTTATTTTTCTTCAAACGTTCATATTGGAACGAGTCTCTGCTTGGAATTACGTAGAGCAAAATTTGAGGGACTTGTTTAGCCTGATTACCAGCAGCATTTCTAACATTTGCAACAGCGTCCGGAAGTGTTTCAGTTCGGACTTGAAAATAAATAACCGGATTTTTGTTTTCAATTCTACCTCCATGACTAGTGTAAACCTGGATAAATGTATTCAGAAAATTTCGAACTGTTGCCTCCGGACAGCAACTAGCAAGAACACATATTCCCCAAGATTTAAGAGGTTCGGGGTTGGGGACAATGAATTTCTTACCACGAAGGTCCCATCGACCAGCTGTACCAGGACTTACCTTCGAGCCAGCCCCAAATGCAACATCTGGCGCAGGGAGGAGTCTAGCTTGTGTCTAAACGTATTACTGGATATAATGCATGAAAAAGGTAATCTTACTCACTTGCGTCATGTTTGGGTCAATTTTAATACCGAAATGGTTTAGATATTTATCTTTATCCCACTTAAGCATACTTATTCCATGCTTTATAGCTATAGTTCGATCTTTTGGGCGTGAAACTGCAAATTTTATCATCGCGGAAGTCTGACTAGTCAATAAGGACAAAAATTATTTAGATAATATTTACCTGTTCTGGAGTCATTTTGAAATTGTATCTCTGACTTGGCGCTATAACACATAGTTCCATGGGAAACATTCCATCACGACTAGTTATAACCAGCGGTAGATCCCAATACTGAATTGTAATGTTGTAAGTTTTTTTAAAATAATCAAAAACAGAGATCTTTTCTTCACGAGGAGGATTACATTTCCTATCTTTCATAGAAAAAAACATGTTCTTCGAATGAGCTCCACCTTGAGATTCAGCAAAAGTAAACCCCTTGATAAGGTAGACTTTATTTTCTGTTACGATTATCAGTAGTTGCCCCCAAATAGGAATAACCTATCCACTTCCCGTTTGATTTTCGATGCTTAACTGTGAACCTGAGCTTGCTCATTTTCTGCAAGGTTTTCCAATCTTCTGATTTCTTCCACTTTCCACTTTTAGGATCGCGGATAGGTTGTAGTAAATCACGAAATACGTTCCATTGAAGCTGGCGGTTACGTTCCTTGCAGAGATTTCGGGCGGCCTGATGCATGTCTTGAGAGATCCAAAAAGTTCCATTGGCAACGTCTACGTTAACACCGAGCCCAGTAGCTAAATTAGTACCCGTAGACCCAGTATTGCAAAGACGCATAGAGGAATAGACACCCTTCATAGCGTAAACGACATCGTCTAACTTCTGCGAGACATTACCCTGGCTAAAATAGGATCGCTTGATCTGAGTGTAATACTCAGAGGGACCCTGTCGCATTACATGATCAAGAAAATCTGGGCATATGAGTATACTTGAATATTAACAGTTCGACAAATTAAAGACTTACTGATAGATTCTAGAACAGTGTTGTCAAAAGCGATCTTTTTTTCAATGTAAGCTTTTATTGAAGCCATACGAATTGTTTTTGCAAGTCGTATAATAACGTAACAGGTGTCAGGTGACTTTCCTGGTCGAGCAGCTCGTCCTTTTTCTGCATCTAGGTCGACTGTCATACGTTGTTCGGGTAATTGATTAGAGGACCTAGAAATTTTCAGTCGCTAGATACATTGATACGATTTTATTTTACCATGCAATTTTATTGCCATCCCATATAAGTGGGAATCCACGGTTAATTTGTAGGATCTTCTCTTGGACCTGTCTAGACATCCAAACAGCTTTAATCTTACCAAGCTTCTCGGCGCCACTTCCGATGTTAATCTATCTTCGTAAGTTAAGTTTTCATCGTGAAGTCACTATATACTACATCATATTGGTATATGTCGTTCTGGGTCCATTGAGTAACCCTATGCTGGTTGAGTAGAATCGATATTGCTTTCCCAGTGGTATTGAATCCAGGTCGAGACGGTAGTTCTTGCGACCAATTGCTCTTGAAATCTATATTAGCCCTTACTTATCACACATCTTGATAGAAAGGTAGAGCAACGAAATATGGTCTAAGACTATTACATGATATTTAAGTTTTTGAAGATGCATAACTAGATATAGTTGCCACCATAAATGTGCATATTTTTAAATTAATCATAATTCTCAAGAAATTTGATATCTTGTAAATTTGAATATTACTAGATGTAGATATTGACTTTTTGAAATTGAGCTTCCTGGCAGAAATTTGTCGTATTTGTATTGAATAGGTAAGAAAACACTGTTAGACTCACATCGGGTTCAACTCTATAGGCATCTGGGGGCAACTGCAAATATAAGCATAGCAAATTTGGAAGTTGAAATCCGATCATACTTCCATACGAGAGTTTGTGATAACTCTCGCGATTTGGTTCGTCATCATATCTGTGGTTCTAGATCTCAGTATTGCAGGCTAATGACTCCCCTAACAGGGATTTCCTGAAAATCGATATATAATTCAAGGAAATGAATTATGCTCCTAATCAGGAATCTCTGTGGATGATTGAAAGTACCTTCAAAAATAGAGCTCAACTTGAATGAAAATCAACTTATAGCACTTCAATCCTTTGTTTCCTAGATTCTTCATTAATACGGAAAACATTCATGATAAAACTTTGACGTTTTGAAATTTTTCTTCACAAACTTCAATGGGAGTTGAAGCTATGACTGAAAAAAGTTTGGAGACATACACTGTTTCTGCAAGATTATTGATGATCAATTGTTCGAGTAAGCTTGGAAATGAATTGAGGGTGTGAGTTGTTAGAGTTAAATGAGGGTGAAGGGATGAAATATATTTAAGCTGAGGAAGGAAGATAAGAAGGTACCTTTGTAAATATTTTGATGGTGATTTCCTATTGTACACAAGCTGCAAAAAAGATGCTCAAGTCAGAGCAGCAGCGAGCGGGGATGTGTAACCGTTACGTATTGCAGATTCGAGAAGTCATAAACTGATGCTTAGAGTGAATTTTTATTGGTCTTTACTGGCATAAAGAAGCGCTTTGAAAAAGCGACAATTGTGCGCAGTATTCTAATCCTTCCTACGTGATCATAAGATCTATGAGCTTCATACAAGTTTTTAAGGAAAAGCATAATCCTTTGACATGCTTCGTTCTCTTGTTTCAAACAAATAGGTTGATACTAGTCAAATAAGTGAATGCAAAAATACAGAAGCTTTTGTGAGGTGAAGTTCGGAGCCAAATATTGCTGAGGTTCTAAAAAAAACTGAGACTGCAATTAATCAATAAGATTATTTGGAAAAAAATAGCATTAGTTGTGCCTTCAAAATCATAATAGCTATGAAGCTTAGTATCCATGGAAATTTGTTAAATAAACCCAAATCAAACCTAATTTAATACAGTCAGAGTTTTGTAAATTTATTCTTGATGTCCCTCATGGTTTTAGCCTGAGAAGGAGTTATATCAATGTTCTTAACTTATAAGGTCGGGGTTTCAAATAGTATAAACTAGCTCTGTTTGGAAGTCATAACATTCGGGTTTTGGCCGACGGTCAAACATAATGAAATCGACAAATAAACTTCATTATCTGAATGGGGTTTACGGAATAAAAAGCTATGAAAGGTTAGAGAAATTCTTACTAACAGGGCTAAAGGTTGCATGAAATTTTAATGATTGCAGGTAGATAGGTGAATTTAGTAGATTAGTTGTTGTAATACTTTGCGATAATTTTTTCAGCTAAGTAAATAAAAAATTATATACCATCTTTGGTAATAAATCTAAAATTTATACTCCAGATCCAAAACTTAGGTAGGTTGAAATATTCTGCATGAAATTTCGCTAGGAGCTATGCACACTGGTTGCGGGAAGAGTACTTACAGCTATGAGCCTTAGCATATTCCAAGACTAATATCAAAATTTTGGGGATAAGTCAAAGATTATTCTTGTAAGGAATTTCATCTACAGGCTTTGCGTTAGATCGGCTCTTAAAATCATCGTGACCTCTGTGCCAATTGAGATTCACGTTCTAAGAGACCCATGTAGATAGGTGTGAGCGGAGTCTTTCATGCTGTAGGGTTGGGATTTTGACGCAGCCACAACAAGGGAAATAATCAAGGAGATGATGCGGCGCAGGGATGTCAGTTGATAGTATTAGATATAATACATTAAAAATCCAATTCACTCTCCCTGTTACCCAGTCTTATAGGTATAGAGTCAAACCTAAATGCTCAGTAATAGAACCTCGATGCCCAAAATCTCTAGCACCATAGAATTCAATAGCTGAGTCGAAAGGTTTCTAAATCTAGTATTTTTGCGTAGATAAATTAAGGGAGGGTAAACAACAAAAAATAAAATGACGTAATATTACAGCCAAACTTGATTGCACCAGTGCTGATAGTTCAGCAAGAGATGTAGATGTCGTGGCAAAACATCCAGAATTCCTGAGAGAACATTGGTAAATTTCAACAAATTCCCATCTAATTAATAGATGAAGGGAAATTTTAGCCACAATTGTTTCGAGTCTAAATTTTATGAATTACCTCATCGCCCATAATATCCTGCTGTAGTAAAGTTAGTTTTTTGGCAGTTTAACTCAGAGGGGTTTTAAAGGGAGTGAATCGAATCATATAGATCATCGACTAGATGGTATGATGGTAGCAATTATCTATGGGACAGTGAACGGAGAGGGCCGGTATGAGAAAACAGGGGGTCCTGTATACGAACCATAATCGGCTTGGGGGGCTTGTCCAGGATAAATTTGAAGCACTGAAGGTTGAGATTGAGGCGGTGGTTGGGACCATGCACCTGTTTGTGTAGGAGGAGCAGTGTAAGCGGAATAACCATTTGGTCGCGGGGGTTGAGTTTGTGGCTGTGAGAGCATTTGTCTGTTCCCGAGAAACCGTTGGGCAAGTGGTGGCGGCAGAGACTCTTCTCTGGCGGTTTTCCATGTGTTATAGTCAGGAACAATCGTCTCTCGGAGTAGTCGGACCATGGCTGAAGGACTGAATCTCGTAGATGTATAATGCTCAGCACGTGGGATAAGACTGAGAAGAATATTGACATCCCGAGGAATTATTGTAGCGGATGAGTTTGATTGCCAGGCCGGTGCACCCTGAGTTTGTTGGAGTCTTCTTTGCTGATCTAGACGTCTTCCTGCAGCTCCTTTGAGAGGAGATTCGCCACGGGCCAGCTTTCGAGGTCGATTGAGATCAGAGTCACATTCCTCTATGGGGAATATTCGTTTTGGCGAACTGGTGGCTTGCACATACTGTGGCCTTGGGCTAGGCTGATGGTTGTATTGAGGCATGGGACTATCGCGTACTGTGCTCGGTTGCTCAATTGATTGCATCAGGGCCTTTGGTTTCATTTGCGTTGCTGGAGAGACAATTAAACGTACCGCAGTGGGATCAAAGCTATCGCCGCTATAACGCGATGCAAATCTTGCAAGTTTAGGGTCTTCTGGAAAGAGCTCTGCCATTCGTTGCTCCAGTTTACTGATTTGGGAAAGTTCACCATACTGAGATTCATATTTGTGAAAGTACGAATACAAGCGTTTGGCCTTGGGTACGAGCTCTGGCCGCTGTGTTAATCTACTAACGACCGTTTCAAAAGTGACTCTAGCATTTGTGGTATCTCCGATTGAGAGTAAATGCTTTAAATATTCAAGAGTAAAGTCTGCATCTTCTGGAAAAAGCTTCGCCCCTCGTTCAAAAATTTTTGTACCGGCAGGGTCTTTATACACATGATGTTCAATTAGAGCAGCCGCAACATATACATCGCTAGTAAGTTTGCCTCTTTGTCGAGCGTCAGAGAAAATTTTTCTGGATCCACCATTAGAATCTTTGTTATTGCCTTTACCTTGAACACGACGCATAGCTCGCATAAGGGCTATCCAAGCAACAGAAATAGTTCTTGAGAGTATATCTGCTTGTATTGAATAGCCATGTTGTATAGCTTTAATTTGAATATCCTTGGATACCTCTCTAGCTTGTTTATCAGAATCAGGCTCCTCATCATCGTCTTCTGCCTTGCTAATTATTGCGCTGATTGACGCATCTAACGCACTCGATTCTTCTAGTTTAGCCAAGTCACGAGCTTCACGCGCTTTAAGGTGTTTTATCATGTCGTATAGCGTATTAAAAAGCTGGTCGTAGGGAGCACGGACAGTTGCACCTCGTTCGGCAGGACTTTTATCTGCCTCATCTATCGTGAGAGTCAATTCAAGACGATCAGCCTTCTTAAAAGTAATCAAACAACTTTCTGGGTTCGCAGTTTGTCCACTGCTCAGAAATGCGTCACCTTCTTTGTCCAGACCATTTCCGAAACACCAGTCGGCCGCATCGACAAAAATCTCTGGCCAGAAGCGCAATGACATGACGGCTTGCTTGTAGACGTAAAGTACACGTTGCTTGTAAGTATCTGGTTCGTCATCTTTCAGAACTAAAGGATCCTCTTGTTCCCATGTTATCCATTTTTGCCATAGTTCCACTTGTCTTAGATACTCCTGATCTCCTTCAAAACCAGGTGCAGGCGGTAATTGCGGCAAGGTTGTCCTTACAAGACCTCGGGTGAGATTTTCTAAAGTGGTGTTGGCGCTTCTTGCAGACATGTAACTTGGTGACTTCTCCTGTAAAAATTTGCGGCCCTGGTAGCACTTAAAATCTGACAAACTACCTTTCAAACGAGAGCGCTCACCGTTATCTTATTCAGACTCATTTCAAACTGATCATACTCCTTCCATAGAGCATTCAAGGTAGACATGGGTACATTTATGGCTCGTTGGTATGCCTTTCGTAGTTGGTCCATTTTTTGCTGGTCCTGCCAAGAGTTTCCACCAATTGTTCCTGGAGCGCTTCTTATAAACTGTATATATTCATGCCAAATCTTACCAGAATCTTTGTCAATCCCTATATTAGCCAATACAAAATCATAGGACTGAGTTACTGTAGCTCTAGCACTACCCGTCGTATCGTTCATAAGATCGTTTCGTCTTCGAATGTAGTTCAAGTAGACAGACCATAGTGCGACGTTGGGGACAGTTAGTAGAGACCGGCCAAATATGTTTTCGGCCGCAGTAAAGTTATCGTTTTCAAGTTCCATTTCTATGTATGCGACCCAAATCCCGGCCTAGTATATTCAGTTTGTATATCTCCAGGTTAATTTATCACTTACAGCTTGTGGGAAGACCTTAAAGAACCTTTCGTAGACTGATCTAGCTTCATCGAGTTTATTACGACTTCGATGTTCCTTGATCAATTCAAGCCAAGCATCTAGGTCTCCTCGAGTATCTTCCTTTATTCTATCTTCAAGAATACCAGTTCTATCGTTTGGGAGACGGGCTTTTGGAAATGTGACACCTGCTGGAGGGACTGTAGATGTAAGTATACCAATTTCGTGCGCAGGAAAGTTTCCAATAGTACTTGGGTTCACAGGAATAGATGGTTTGTCCACTGTGGAATCAGCTTGATTCTCTGGTGATTTTTTCAATTCCTGTTGGGAAATGGAATTTTGAAGCGGGGACGGAGATATTGCTTGGTTAAGAGTATTACCAGCCAAGGGCTGAAGACCAGTGGAGGAAACATCTAGAGGCGGAACATCGCACTCTTCATCTGAGTCGTCTGCAAGAAAGCCTCCAACGGTCTTTGGTTTTCGAGTTGAAGCTCGTGAACTAGACCTGGATGCCTCTAATTCTGCCACCGCAATCGCTGGAAGCGGAGAGATAGAAGATGGATCATATTCGCCATCATCATCATCATCGTATTCAGCATTCCTGGGAGATATAGCACAAAGAACTTGATCAACTGAAACAGATTCTCTTAAAACTTGTTGGTTGTTTAGCTCAGAATTTGGATACTCGCACTGGACGGTCCCAATCGTGCCTACATCTCCCCAGTTACTATTCTCTTGTCCTGCCTGCAATTGATGTAAAAGAGCTATTTCTGCATCTTCCTCCGCCATTTTGACTAATTTTATATTAGTACCCTTGATTGCGTTATGACACGACCGTAAACCGAACTATTCTATGAGACAGGTCAGCTTTATTTCAAAAAGATATTAGGTATTGTGGCCCGACCTAGCGATCGGACATTAGAAAACGTCGTAGAAATGGGATACAGTTTTGATAGGTGCTTGACATTTTGCCACAAAGAAATGCCGGAATATGATAGCCTCAGCCTTGATTACTCACCACATTTTGATTTGTAAACATCCCAAGAAGTTGCTGGACCCCAGCCGCGTTAGGCATGGTTCCTGGCACACTTTTTTGAACATAGCGTCGTTTACTTGAGTCCGATCCTACAGAGTACAGGTCCGTTTCCGACATCTGATATAAATTAGGCTACACTGTGTTTTCCCAAGCAACGACCAATGGGCATTAAGGTACTTTCCGCCTACAATCCAATGATACCTATGCTAGTATTATATCAACTCTCATACGGCTCCCATCAAAAAGTTACACTCCTCCAAAATTATCACATGATAATACTATTAGAGGAGCCCTATGCCCTTCACTATCTCCTCTCTCCAGCCAACGAAACGATGGCCATACGCGGGTGTGTGATAGCCGGGAAAATCGCGATAACCAGTGGGTACGGGGCACTTCTAATACCGGCATTAGGACTAAATTCGAAGACATAGTGACCCTTCTGAACAGTTAGGTGAGGCCGACAAGCGGGGTGCATCAGACTTTTTTATTCCCAGGGAAATCACCTAATTACGTTTGTAGTAACATTTTGTACCAGAATTTGGGAGATGTATATGGAAGATGTCCAACGCGTTTTCGCCAGGTTGGAATCTAATGTAGAGATCAGGGTCATCTCTTGATTTCGCAAGATTTGTCTAGGACCTCTATCTGCCAGGAGTACATTCAACAGAGGGACGAAACTCAACACTTATCAGTGATGTTCCCTACGAACCTCCAGTCTTCACTTTAGAATCAGCAGAACCTATATTGAGTAACGACTTTGTTCTCACTTCGATAAGGATTCCCAATCGCTTTCGCCGTCTGTATCGTCTTCATCTCTCAACACATCTCCCTATTACCATTATTATGAAGCTAACAACGATCAAAATAGATCTTAGGATCGAAGCCCTTCTCATCACCAACACTTGATCATGGAGGAAATGCCATCCGATAAGTTTCCGGAGCGTATCCAGCACCCAATACCGCAATGGCGGATTGGATCAAGTCGGCCTCGACTGTTACGAAGAAGGGAGATATAGATGAGTATGCGCACTTCATGTGGTCCCGGTGTCTAGGCCTCGCCTGGCTGGGGCTGCAGGTTTTTTGAGACTTTTTCCCGCGCACGCATCTTCTGTTGTGCCATTTTTTTGGTAGAAGGTTCTATAAGTAAACACTGAGCTGAATGGCTACCCATCACGGGCAATATCTCAATGATCTTACAGGTAAAAAATAAGATAGGAGCACTGTACAAGGCGTAGCCTGGGTCAGAGAGGAGTCCAATATGTTAGATAGTCTTTGACTCAGGTAGTATAATGACCCAAAATACAATTCCAATCAGTCTTGACGGTCAAGACAAATTCTTCATCTTCATTCTAATGAACATACTTCTGATCGACCTTCTCTGGCCTCAGCTTGTCGCCAAATACACGCCCACGCCGATATTTACACCCAACGGAGGAAACAAAGCATGGCGCACGAATCTGAGAGACAGTTCTTTGGGATGGACGTAAGAGAAATCAGGACAAGTTCACAAGATGGTGTAGAGGGTGGATACAACCTTGACGGGCGTGAACTTTCAAATTTTAGCAAGGAGATTTTACAAATTGAGCTTTGTGCGTGCCAAGTCTTCGGCTGCGAAAGTTCAGGCGACATTATAAATATTGCCGTGGCTGGATGGTGCGGTTGTACATCGCCTTGGCCGGTCTTCCAAGTAGAGACTGGATTGGTTGGACAAATGTCCCACTCGAGACAAGAAACCGCCGGTTCGAATCCGGCAAAATACAACCATATTTCTCGCGGCGTTGGTATATATTGATGACGAAGGCATGCTTGGATAATAAAGAGTTTTGATACACCCCTTTAGTGGATACTCACGGAGGAGGGTCGACTGTTTGTACAAGCGAACATACCTCATAGAGGTTTTTGCAAGTAAAATCTAGAGTATGAGTGTTGCTAACGTCAAAAGAGTCATGTCATATGTAAACATAGCACCGGTTATGTGTCGTAGCTACATAGCTGCATACACATGAGATGATTCGAAAAAAATACATTCAAAGCGAAGAATTGCATCCGAATCTAGATCAAAAGGAATCTCGATCGTATCTAAAAACGATCACTTCTGATCAACGTCGGACCTACCTTTTCACGCGAGTCCTACGACTTACTGATATCAAGAATTAACTCGCGTCAATGACTGAATAAGTAGTCGCATCAATTGTAACTGGGAGTTTGCATCCTCAAATATCAGCCATCTCCCACTACAAATCTGCGATTTTATGTGCACTCGCGAGGATAAAACTAAGTCATAATGTACAAAGCTCGATTTTTGGTCTATTGGGGACCGTTTCTCTAATCGGGCTTCATACCTTGAGGGAAAATAGGCAACTGGGACGTGGAACGAACGAGCAATGAGGTCGCAAATTGGCATGCCGAGACTCATATTTTTCAAGTGTTTACGACATTTGGATACCTGTGAGCGTCGAGGCTACGATTTGAATTGTGCAATTGACAATTAAAAAACAGCCAAAGATGGAAGGTGTTTTGTTCCGCCTCCTGGTTGTCATCTCCCCAAATTTAAGCCTGCGTAGCCTAGACACCTGCCTCACTCGATAAAATGAGGACTGTGATGCCATATCTTGCGCGGTGGCTATATACGAAATGGCAAAGGCATGCTAGGGTAGCCAAAGGTTTTTACTTTTTTCACTTCGGTAGATATTGACGGTTGAGGTAAGGGTGAGAGTCTCTAGCGGAAAGGTCTCCAGTGGCATCAGCGAATGCAACCACTAAATGAGTAGTCCAAACGTTCAACTGAGTTATCGTCGTAGATAGTCGTCGGTGAAGGACTAGCATTCTTCGTGTCATGCTTTATAAATGCTAGGCTTGTGCCCATAACGAAAAAAATCGCCCATTCATTCATTCTATTTGTTCTCATCTCTTCAATGCAAATTCTGAAGATCTGCCTTCCAGATTTGGACATCACGATTTCTCTCCTCTGGTGAGTATAATTATTCTCGCGGTCGTGGACATATGGTGGCCAGCTAAGGTAGATGAGGATCGACGAAAGGTATGGTCATAGATGTCAGGATTTACTGAGTCTAACTTGAAAAGTTGATGAGGCTCTGTTATGAATGCAAGGTTATGGGAGGTGGAATAGTTACCGGTAAATAACAGCACGTTCACTGAGAATTGAAGGTAGAGGTAGATTGTAATGAATTAGTACACTTGCTTCCTTTCATTCAAGTTAAGAGAATCACTACTTTGATAAACATATACCACATTCTATGGCTTTCCATATCCCCAGTCGCTCAGTCCCATTCAGCTCTGAGTCATCACATTCTATTCCATCCTGTTCTATTCTATCTGACTCTGGTCCGTTCTGTTTTAGCCATTAGATTCAACATCTCTGTGATCCACAATAACCAGATGCAGGGGTGGTTATGTCATCAATCACAACAGGCTGTGGCCGAAATCGATCTCGTGAACCAAATTTGATTTGGTAGGGAGACTTGAAACGTTGCCTCATGGACTAATTTCTTTGGTATTGTGAAGAGTGACTGAGTGTATCTCTGGGAGACACATTTAATCCCAAAATGCCATAAAATCCCATAGACAGGGGGACAATTCTCAACACCTGTCAGTGGTGTCCCCTACGAACCTCCAGCTCTCACTGTAGAGTCTGCAGAGCCGAGATTGAGTAACGCCTTATCAACTTTGAGCTGAGTTATCTCTCCCTCCGTCAAAGATACGCTTCGTATAACACACAAGACGACCAAGACGATGATAATAATGCTGGGAACGAGGAGAGATAATGCGGTACCAAACGCTACAACGGTAGTCAGAGAAGCCCTCGTTATATCACAACATGTGCTACCCACCGGCGGGCGAACAAAAAGCCCACGAAAGCAAGGTAAAAGATTCTTCCGCCCTTAAGAAAAGCAGATTTCGACTCGTCTACTATATCGTCCCTACTGATCTATACCTCCGAATCGACAAGCCAGGAGGGCATCTGAAATACATGACTTACTCGACAACCCCAAGTTCGTAACGACTATTGGATGCAAGGCTAGGCTCCTTCACGACGGTCACTCTCGACCAAGACTTTTCTGACATCCTTTCACGACCTTCGGTTTGTCCTGCGGCATGAATCAAGGAAGGAGTAAGGAGAAGGCTAGGAAGGTTGAGAGACACTCCTAGGTATACACAGGTCTTCTGCGCCCGGCTGGCCGGCCTCTTCGTCACAGGAGAGCCCCGCACCCAGTGGTTTTTGTGACTTTTCCCTGCAGCTACACACCCGCAAATGGCCATCGTTTCGTTGGCTGGAGAGGGGAGATAATGACGGGATAACGGCTCCTCTTAGTGTGTACTCGAATGAAGACCTGTGGGGTTATTACTGCTGGAAAGCAGTCGTGAGGGAGGCAAAGGAGGGAGTAAGGACCTACATGTCCTTAAATAGTTATATACTTTTTAGGATAATAAACACCCACTCGCCCACAGACAGCACTTTGTCTCCATCCTTTCACCGAGAAATTTTCTCCTTTGTAAATATGTAGATAGAGTTTGCCGCCATCCGCATCGACGCACAGGGCGCTAAATCCAGAAAATGAAATAAATAAATTATTCAACTGTCCTTATTTGGCGTCTTGAGGCCCATTCTAGTTTTTATCGGAAGATATTTACTTCAAGTGGGATGACTCAACTTGACGTTTAGAACACTCACACTCAATTTTCATTTGAAGATACCACTCGAGGTTAACCCTTACGGCGTATAATCTCTTCCGTGCATACCCACCACAGGGAAAAGCGTGAAAACCCTGTGGCTATCCGAGTGTGCTTTAATCATGCCACAAGTACAACATCACCGCGAGAGAGAGTGGGGTGTGAGTTTTACTAGATTCGAACCAGCTTTCTCCTGTCTCAAATGGAGTAGATGTTCAAGCTACCCAGAATCTACATGAGAGAACGGCCCGAATGGTGTACCGCTGCACCATCCAAACCCAGAAAATGAAATATACACCACATGAATGGCTGCTAAGAGTTCGTGGTGCTTAGCTTTCCTTGAACCTCTATTATGGGAAGGCTTACCAAATCATGTCCGACCATCTTATTTATATATTGATTTATCACATTCATGTGTGTGCTTCATTCTAGAAGTGTAGTAACTTGTAACCTACATATGAAATACATAGAATACTGTGCTTTCCACTCCAGAAGTTCAGTCAATCAAGGCAGTCAGTCCGACAAGGAATAGAGGGATTTGTTGACAAATAACTATATGTCGATGGGCCTTAATGTACGTACACGTAGGTTTAATTCAATACAAACCCAAACGTTCCAAAGTCAAGTGTGTATTGTCCCTATCCTCTCTATCTAAGAATACTGTGAACGTGGAGTTCGTGGTATTAGCGGAGTAATAAAGATAATGACTTTGCAACAGAGATATACACTGCACTTGGCGCACAGCAAAGAGAAATGCTTTCCGACGTGCATATATATACAGAGATACTAGTGGCAAGCCCAACTTGCGAGGTGGAGGGAGAGTCAACGCGCTCAAGAGACGGGACGATGAAATAGAAGAACACGTTTACAATGGACCACTGTTATGATCCTAGTCTATGCAAGGAAGTAGACACAATATAGATGAGAGTCGGTAATTAAATTGCATGGAGACATTTATGCAAGCTTATATTAATGCATGGCTCAATTGTGAGTCGTGCTAATTAGCAGGAACATAAGTATAAATAATTTCGGTACGCAATACAAGAGCATATTTGACACCCAGTCAGCATGTGTGTGGAGCACGTGCATCTACTCTTTATGTAGACTGTGCATTGATCTTCAGAGCCATCTAAACCCATAATCACAACTAATTTGTTCATGAGGTTCAGGTGTGGCATGGCTAGCTTAGTCTAGATCCACTGTGAATTGATGAAAAAATAGGCCGATGGTAGACTGTGTTAAGAGTACACACAATTCGTTACCCTTCAACTTCTCTCTGAAATTTCCTGTGCCGTTTAATAAATCTCATTTCTCAGCACAAGCTTACACTGTAAAAGTCAAGGCCCCTTTGCGACAACTGCTAACGTTGCTTGATGCGTACAATAGTATATTGGTGTATTGCGTGTCAGCAAAAGAATAGCTTCGAAAAAGAATAATTATCTCTTCTTTTCCCCAAGCTAGCAAATTGGGTAAAATCAGTTTGCTGTCAGGGAGATTCAATTCTGCTCCGGACTTCAAACTTCCGATATTGTAGCAATAGATTACGATGATGAAATGCACTCACTAGTAAATGAGTCCACATATCGGACAGTCTCAAATTTCTTGGACAACTTTGCCTGGAATAGGGTAGAACATAATTTAAGACCCTCCCGAGTCTGCGATTATGAAGGACTGCTAAAATTTGTGAAACACTCTAAATCACCTTTGCCTAGGCTAGGCTGTAAAGATACTAGAGAGGACGTATTAACAGGCATGACGTGGGTGTGCCAAACGGGAATTTCCTGAGCACCCAATGCTCAGCTGCTGTGACTACAAGCTTAGGTGAAAAGATCTAAGATAGATATTTAATGGAAATACCTTGAGTTCAAAATTGCTGGTTCTAAAAAAAAGAGGGATAGAGGCAAAAATTAATTATATTGATAGCACTACTATGTCAACTAGAAGATGGCATCTAAAGAGAAGAGTGTGGTATTGTAAACAAAAGTGTTTACAAAATGGGAAAATCCAGGGAAATGTTGTGGAAATAACGGCCCTTCATTCATTTGGCTGTGAAGCATGTTCATTTAATAAATAACTGAAGAGAAATATAGAACATTATTTCTGGTCACTTATGTACCAACGTGAACTTCTCTGTGGTCCCAACTATTATAAATTCTGACAAAAAGTTAGTCTGTAATTTAAATTTGCCCTAGACCACCATCAAAGGTCCTCGCACAGATTTCTGCTGATCAACTTTAACCAGTCTTTTTTGTATCCTATGCTGAAACTTCATAGCCGGGGAAACCCTTTCAATGAAAAGAGTATCCATCTAGATATTGCCTACTTGGTTTTAGAGTGCGACAATCAGAATAATGAATGGGCGGTGATACGACGAGCGGAGAATGAGGGATTTGCTGGAAGGTATAGGTACTGAGACTATTCATTGGTTCAGAAAGGAGGACTGGTTCTCCACTCGGTATTCAACCCGTCCCAAATTACAAAATTGCCTCAAAGTCAAAAATGAGCCACTTTCAGTCAGGTCTTCAGCACCTTAGTTTAACAACTAAAAGGATTTTTGTGACCAAGATCGGTAATGCGTTAGTCTAGGGTCAATTTTTTAAACATACATGAATAACGAATAATTCTTCAACAATTTATAGGGAAAGACTGAAAATTCGGGTCATTACATTCCGAAATTTTGACTGACAGGGTCGGTGTGAGAAATCAACTCCTCTGTTCTGAAAAACTTAAATTTCAAACCAGAACGAAAGAACACTTACAGGGAATTAGATCGGACGAGTCAGTTTTTCCACTTATTTGATCTATGACTGGGCTAGAACCACAGATAAAACTGTTGGCTAGCTCGTGTCCTCTTGAATATGAGTTTGAAGTTTTTGGATGGGACGGTTCCGAGACAGAGGGTATTATCAGTTTTGTCGCAATCGCTTGTTGTACACGGAATGGTGCTCAGGGTAATTGCTTTATTCATGTGCAGAATTTTAATCATCACTTATTTCCATTCACAGATGGCCTGTTAAATTCATTCCGCAATTTCGTCGGGTATGTTTGATGTGTATTAACGGTGGGATGTCCAATGCGGGTTGATGCCGCCCGGCTTTAAGGGTACAAATGGGTGCTCTGTCACTTTAAATGCAGTTTAACAGACAACTAAGTGATGAGATTTGAGATCAAAACTAAATCCGCGGACCACCCCAATTAGCCATAGAGATCACGGTATTGCATCTTAGAACTGTGTGGACCCAGTAGAAAGAGACATAGAGTCGGTGGAAGGGTAGACTGTTGAGCGGCAGCTAGCATAATAACTAGTCGTGTCCCGTTGAAATAGCTCGTGCGCCCGCTGTACATATTCCTAACCCGCGACATGGAATGCTGATATTAAACGGCTAATCGACGAGGGCACATTACTTAAACGAGACGTACCGCTCACCTCTACCGGAGCGTCAGACCCTATAGACTTTTCAACTCCCTCACGCGGATTAATTTGCTCTCTCAATTACAGCTATCCTCCATCTCCGTTACAATCTAGCCTGATAAGAAGGCTCTCCATAACACATACCATTCCCCTCCATTCGCAAAAAATGAAAGACAACTTTTGCTAGGGGTGCGCCTGTGGATATCTGCAAAGCTACGTCGGTACCTTGACTAGCTATCGGCTTATCCCAAGTGAGCAGATCTCCCCTCTTCCACTGTCATCGTCAGTGTCTACCTGTCTCGTCGGAAAGAGAGGTTTCCAGCAACTTTCCGATCAACTCTGATCATGGCATATCCGAGTACGTTACGTCGTATCTCTGGCCTAATTCGCTACACAATCATCGCCGTCGGGACACTTGCACTTCTATTTTACTTCCGGCAGATGACCTATGTGCTTACGGTGAGGCCCGGACGCTTATCGCCAGTAAAACCCAATCTGAGTAATGCGGATACTTCTGGAAGACCGAAAACTAAGCTCCATCCAATTGAAGAACTGATAGATAATGCAGACAAGACTTTTGAAGCTCTGTTGGCAAAACAAACCTTTGACTTGAAATCGGCAGCATCAGAATACAGGAAAAGGAGAGGAAGACACCCGCCCCCATGGTTTGATTTATGGTTTGAATTTGCTGGAACAAATAAGGCCCTCATTGTGGAGGAATTTTTTGACCAAATTTACCACGATCTCGCGCCTTTCTGGGGAGTTGATCCCTCATTGATGCGTAAAAAGGCAGAATCTTATGAAATGAGGATAAACATACGGAATCATAAAGCTAGCGCGGAAAGTACCTGGTTCTGGACACAGATATGGTTAGATATGATTAAAACCATCGAACATCTTTTACCAGATATGGATATTGCCTTAAATGCAATGGATGAGCCTCGAATTGTCATCCCTTGGGAAGAGATAAACAAGTACATGGAAGCTGAGCGCAAGACGCGTAAAATGCCTCCCGCGACAGAAGTAGTGTCCAACTTCCGACCACTCAAACCACCTGGAAAGCGAGATCAGAGTGTTATTAAGTGGGAGCCAGGAGAAAGTGGTAAGGTCGATTCTTGTACACAACTATTCATAACTAATACATATCGAAGCCTCCTTCTGGAAGATTGTAACTAGAGGATGCCACCCTGATTCACTCGCACGAAATTCACCAATTATGACTGACTTTGACCACCGCCCCTCGATAACCTCCGAATATACCACCTCACACATGTACAAAGGCTTTGTATCTAACTACACTGCCTCTACAGATTTTTGTAATCAACCAGATTTACAATATCTCCATGGTATAATGATAAAACCACTCACTATATCCTCTACCAAGGATTTTTTCCCAATGTTTGGTGGCTCAAAACTTCACACAAATAATGAGATTTTACTTCCTGCACCAATGTATTGGAACAATGAGGAAAGATTTTCTGGAGGCTACGACCATGGTGGACCCTGGGATGAGAAGTTAAACAAAGTTATATGGCGGGGCGTTGCGACGGGCGGGCGTAGTCAAGCCGACAATTGGAAAGGATTTCAAAGACATCGATTCGTAGCTATGACAAATGCAACAAAAATTTCCGATAGTGAAAATTCCCGCAAGCCCCCAGAGAATTGGGTCCTTCCACCTACTCAATATAACCTAGCTGCACAGGCGGAGAATAGACTGGGCGAATGGACGCGAGAATGGGCTGACACTGGATTCGTTGATCTTAACTGTGAACCATCCGAAATTGAAACCTGCGAATACTCTTCGAGTCAATTTTCAATTCTACCCGGCATGATGATGAGCGAGCAATTCTTTCGCAAGTATCTTCCTGATATCGATGGCAACAGCTTCTCTGGTCGCTATCGAGGGTTTCTTCTCTCTACTTCTTTACCTATCAAAAGTACCGTCTTTCGTGAATGGCATGATAGTCGCCTAGTGCCGTGGAAGCACTTTGTCCCAATGGATAATCGCTTTATAGATTTCTGGGGTATCATACAGTATTTTCTCGGGTACCAAGGGAAAACTATCCAAGTAGACGGACATGATGAACAAGCAAGAAAGATCGCGATGGACGGCCAGGACTGGGCTAATAAAGTATTACGCACAGAGGACATGCAGATTTATGTTTTACGCTTGCTACTTGAGTATGCACGGCTATCAGATGACCGACGTGATGGCATGGGCTGGGTGGGAGATCTTGTCTAGATTTCTATTAGGTTGTCACTGGGATCTTGGGCGCGCAAGCAGGCGTTGAAACATTGGTCTTGGGAAGACTGAGATTTTTCATGAGAAATGGAAGCTAGGCGTTAATTTTTGGATGGTATGAAAGAGTAACCTGGGTTGTTGTGGTAGATGGCGCATCGGTGAGATGATGAGATGGTTTCTTTAAACCTACAACTCACAAATAATGATTAATATTGACGAAAGTGACTGGCTTGGTTGTCGTTCAAGAGACCAAATGCAAAATCAAAACGGGATTTAAATCATTACTGCAATATGCATATAGTAAAGTATACCTCTACTGTATGGAGAAATTTAAGAAAAGGTAGATTTAATCTTCAAAGCTACATGACCGGGATACAGGATTCGCATTGCGCTTTCATATCGTAGACACAAGGTATAAATCTAATCAAGGTTTACAAGCTAGTAATTGAGGACAGAGGATGCATTCAGTAGAAAGATCGCATCTGGCCGATGGAAGGCCTTCGATTTCGATATCAGGAATTGTATCCCTTCGTCGAAATTACGACTCGCAATAAACTCTGCACCCCCTTCGCACTTCTACACCAGTTGGCTTCCAAGTAGCACTGTGATAGTACAAGACTAGGCATCTTCTCCGGGTTGGGATGGTTATATATATTTTACTTATTGAGTGTGATATTCAAGCACTTTGAGCTCTTCTTTGTTCTAGGCTACACCTTGTCCAGTGCTCCTATCATCTATTGTTGGAATAGTAGGGTCTCTAAAATGATGCGCACAATGAATAGCCAACTAGCTCAGTCTTTACCCGCAGAGCTTAGCATTATTTTCCATGGAACCTCTGACCTAAAAAATTCATCCAAAGACCTGTAGCTCGAGCCAGTTGAGGTGCAAAGGTCCATTTAAAACGCCCTCATTTGCACAAAATACCAACTTGATTCAGTCCACCACCATCGTATCGGCAGCAGTTTACGCTTCGCAAGCGCGTGAATAACTTCACTCCCATGACCAACTAGGTGCTAAAATACAAGTGTCTCCGAGGTCAAGCGAGGGATGCAAGCTACGCACGGGATACTGAAATGCGTTACGGCGGGATAGTTACATTGGCATTGGACTTTTTATAAAAGAGGAAGGTGAAGAGTAAACGGGTCCATAAGCCACACTCGTGCAGCTTGATAAAGCAGCTCCGCTAGAGCATGAACGTTTTTCCCGCCTATGAACGGGTGCTTACCCGTGCTTGGACTACTGGCTCAGTTTTCTTCGTTGGACATCCGATTCCCGCCGCACTCAAGAGATCTCTTCTGAGCGGGCTGGATCGCTGGATGTTTTGCTTAACATGGGATCGCTATGAGCGTCACGCAGACACCCGCAACTGGCCACTTTTCGGTTGGTTAAGGGGATATGGCAGGATAACGGCCTCTCTGGTTGACTGCGGAAGGGGGCATAGAATGGAGTGAGCTGGCCGAGGCATAAGGGACCTATATACCCGGAAAGCGTCAACACCTCGTTGCGAAATTAAAGTAAAGCCATGCGTTGTGTTGTATCTAGGGTTGTTATGGAATGTATTTTGTATTTTTTTCTATATTGAATTCAGTCCTAAGCTAATGCTCTTGGTTCACTTTGGTTCAGGGACCGGTGGAGCCAGTGAGGATCTCTACGTACAGGCCCGACTCATTCAGACCACGCAAACCTCCACTGAACGCTTACAAGTTAACTGTAAATCAAAAATCAAAACGTAAATCAAAAACTGACATCAGACTTAGAAGACAATCTTTTGTGGTCCAGTTCCTGCGCTCCTCTCCCGTTTCTTTTACCGTTACATCTTCCGAATGACATTTTTCGAAGCCTTTGTAGACTTAGCCAGGGACGCTGTACCCTCATGCCTCCTCTTTGGATTCCAGGACTCCGAACTTCGAAACCCGATCCCTCCGCCATCGAGAAATTCTTCGCTGAAGCGATAATTGCCTTTTCGGTCTTTATGGCTGCAGCCCCAGCTCGTAATGATATTGCTTGATTAGACGAGGCTGGAGCTTTCTAGCCATTCCAGACTTTTCGGAAGGGCGGGGTACCGAGGAAAAAGGACATGTCAGTAGCGAGTGGGCGCATCCGCAACGGCTCTTCTAGCGTCACACTAGCAATCTCCTCAGAGATCCACTCTTCGTCGATGGTTGCAATGCCCTTAAATCAGCTAACCATAACTGTCAAATTAGATATGCAGAAGGCGACAGGGTTTGAAGATGGTTCGATTTTGGCGTTGAATCTCGGCAATTTCGATGAGGCATTTAGGAAGCCTTGTCTCTGTTCGTTGTTTTTTGCCACAATGATAAAACTAGACTTGACTCGATGTGTCGAGCTATTAATAATGGAGACGCATGTCGTATGTTCCAAAACTGCGAATAAGATACCTGTAAGAGAAAATTTCCGTGACGGGTGTTTGCTGACATGACTTAGGAACAGTCGTTTTTTCACTTGATCCTTGAAAACCTCTCTCTTTTGCGCTCCAGCCGCAGGTTGCGGCACAACTCTCACCACAGGGACTGCTTTTTATCGCAGTCCATCTTGTACCATTGTAGCCCAGGTGCTTTTTATGGGCTTGACTGAGACAGCAGATGGTTTTTGACTCCTGACGTTGGGAGCCCTCAGGGGGAATCCATCGGGCGAAGAGTAAGAACGACGGGCGTATAAGCCGAGCCCAACGCCATGTATTGCGCAGTGGCGGTACGTTCGTGGACTCTCACGTAGTCCACAAATTGTCTGTTTGACCCATTGCTGAAAGGGAAGAGTGTTGCTTCGATGTCAGAGCTTGCGGCGGAACAGTGTGCCAGATGGCCGCTGTTTCGGCAGCACGTCGTTGTTCGGCTTCGACTATTGGTCGAAGCTCGGGCGGGCAGTCTGTCTTAGTGGCAACTTTTGGCTGCAACGTTGATTTTGGCACTGCTTTGGGTGCAACGTTCTCCGACGGTTTTGACGTGGTCGAAGAAGATTTTGACGATTCTCTAATCCCGTCAGGTACGGAGAATGGTTGAGGGACTTCCTTAACAATTTAAACTGACCCGATCATGTTAGTGTGTGTGTGTTTTTTGGGTGTGTGTTTTTATTGTACTACTCGAGTCTATGACTATCTAGCACATTGGGCTCCTCTCAGGCCCAGGCCACACCTTGTACAGTGCTCCTATCCTCTTTTGTAACTTGTAAGATCATTAACATATTGCCCGCGATGAATAGCCATTCAGCTCAGTGTTTACCCGTGGAATTCGGCCACCTTTTCCACGGAACCTTCTACCCAAAAAAATAAAAATGGTAGCAATGGAAACTGCGTGCGCGGGAAAAAGTCTCAAAAAACCTGCAGCCCCAGCCAGGCGAGGCCTAGACACCGGGACCACATGAGGTGCGCATATTCATCTATATCTCCCTTCTTTGTAACATTCAAGGCCATCTTGATCCAATCCACCATCTCCGTATCGGGTGCTGGGTACGCTCCGGAAACTCTTCGGATGGCTTTTCCTCCATGATCAAGGGTGGTTGATGAGTAGGGCTCCGACCCTACCATCTGATCTGATCGTTGTTAGCTTCATGATAATGGTGATAGGGGAATGTGTTGAGGGATGAAGACGATACAGACTGCGAAAGTGATTGGTAATCCGCGTCGGAATGAGGACTTTGTTACTCAATCTCGGCTCTGCAGACTCTACGGTGAGAGCTGGAGGTTCGTAGGGGACACCACTAACAGGTGTTGAGAACAGTCCCCCAATGGAATAGGGGAATGTTCGAAAAAATGAAAATATAAATATTTATCCGTGACGGACACAAGCCTAGCACTCATAGAGCATGAAAAGAAGAAGACTGGTCTTTCCTCAATGGCTAACTACGACTATAACTCAGTTTGACATTTAGATCACTCATGTTGTTGGTGCATTCGCTGATGCCACTAGAAACCTTTGCGCTAGAGACTTTCACCCTTCCATCAACCATTAATATCCACCAATGGAAAGACAGGAAGAGTCTTTGGCTGCCCTAACACGCCTTTGCCGATCTGTACATAGCCACCTCGTGAGGTATTGATGCGAACTTCTCCCATTCTAGAGTTGCGCATGCCTCCAGGCTACGCGGACTTTAACTCGGGGAGATGACAACCAGGCATCAGATCTCAATAACTTCCATCTTTGACTGTTTTACAAGTGTCGGTAGCACTGCAAGGAATGTTCGAAAATCAAGGCCGTACTTGATGATTGTTAAGTGCTCCGGCCCGGCCTCACTAGTCCTTAGGCTCCAGTGGGAGTGGCACGGGTGATAAAATACCTAAAACGTCAACGAGGAAGTGACCACACAACTCGGGAAGCTCCCATATTCTCATTTTCCCATCCCATGATCATTTCTGTGCTTGAATACTCTAATTGTCAACCATCGCGAGATACTCGAAAATGCCTTCGGTGAGGAAAAAACGCCCAAAGTAAACAACGTGAGTCAGCTTTGAACGTACAAAGTTGTGTCCAAAACAATAGCCCTCGCGCAGAAATTATTGTGCGTGTTTGCAAGTGAGACCTCTGTTCACTGGAAGTCCACAAACCTTTCCAACAAAGTGATGACTGATTGTGAACCTATCAGATGAGTAAACCATGGTCTTAAGCTAAAAAACCCGTCGAGAATGCCCCCGAAGCATCCAACACGAAGAAAGAAAAGGAAGTTGTTGGAGAGATGAAGACTTAACATACAGAGCCTTGTGCAAGGAAAAAGTTTATGCCAACCTTAAGAAGCATAGCTACGGCTATAGAAATGGGATTTCCCCCAGAGCTACACACGGTGATTGAGGCTGAAAAGCGTCGGACGGCTCAAATAAAGGCCCACATATTAATCTGCTCGACCTCAATAAGCAGTGTAGAAGCAGCACTTTCGCCAATCTCGATGGGCGAAAATGTAGACTTTGGGAACGGCAACAAAGTTGACGTTCGAGCGGCCATAGGCCAGTTCCTACAATCCGGCCCGTGGTCAACACCATTAGCTTTCTCCACCCGCCCCAATATACTACTTCCAAAGAGAGCTATACAAATAAGTGATAACAATCCTTCGAAAACCCAGGCTCCGGCTCAAAATGCCACTTGGGCTTCTGTAACCTGAGCTGTCCTAGGCTTCAACGCTGGGTCGTCGACAACAACAAAAGCAGCAATACCTGCCGTAAAAATAAATAGTGCAGAGTTGAAAATGGAAATCGACAAGCGATTATTTCTTCGCCACTAGCCGAAGCATCCCCTCTGACTCCTGTCACCAGCTAGTGTAAGTTTAACTGTACCGCAGACACTCGGCACCGCGGCCAACGATATCATGTTGGTACAGCGGCTCAACCCGGCTTTATATTGACTGTAAAGAATGAAATATCTCGGCAAGAGCTCCTAGAATCCTCCGCTCTATAGCTAAATTCCGGAATTAAATCTGGCTGTCATTCAAATTGCCACCACCCTGATGATATTACACACCCTTACAGTCCCAATCGTTTTTACGACAAAGATGGTCGCAGACAATGCCACACAAGTGACCAGATCGGTTCCCTCTCTCGCTCGTTCCTATGAGACCTGCAATTCCGAGGTGCTGCAGCGATAAGGGCCGAAAAGGCAATTATCGCTTCAGCGAAGAATTTCTCGATGGCGGAGGGATCGGGTTTCGAAGTTCGGAGTCCTGGAATCCAAAGAGGAGGCATGAGGGTACAGCGTCCCTGGCTAAGTCTACAAAGGCTTCGAAAAATGTCATTCGGAAGATGTAACGGTAAAAGAAACGGGAGAGGAGCGCAGGAACTGGACCACAAAAGATTGTCTTCTAAGTCTGATGTCAGTTTTTGATTTACGTTTTGATTTTTGATTTACAGTTAACTTGTAAGCGTTCAGTGGAGGTTTGCGTGGTCTGAATGAGTCGGGCCTGTACGTAGAGATCCTCACTGGCTCCACCGGTCCCTGAACCAAAGTGAACCAAGAGCATTAGCTTCGGACTGAATTCAATATAAAAAATATGAAAACAAAACACCCCGTCTCACTTAAATGAGCGGAGCCATGGCACTTGCAAATGAAAACCGAGGCATGAGTGCTCTTCCTTTACATTGTGTCATTTATTATGTACTTTTCTTTGAATTTGTGTCATAGCTAGATAGCTGCATACACAATTAAAATCTGATGCTAAAAAAGAGCGGAACCATGCCATACCTCGTCTATGTGTTGAACCAAGACAAGTTTGGCAGCCCACAATCAAAGCAAAAGAAAACTCGAAGGTGAAATCCCGCAATTAAAAAGGAAAAAGTAAAATATGCCCCTTCCAAAAATTTGCTAGAGCCACTACTCGCCTGAGCCCACCCTCACATAGGTTCCACCAATGGAATGCATCGTTTGGTGCTCCGCAAATCACGTAATCCATTTAGATGCGAATATTACTGAACTTGATGTTAGTTAACCTAACTCAGCTTCCCGTGGGCCAGCGCAGGCAGTTCGAAACCCGAAAGAGAGTGCGAAAGCGAACCTGCACGTAAAAACGCTCCCTATCCTTACGACCATCTTCGAGGTTTCCACTAGTATTATCCTCGGCAAGCTGCAAAAAAAAATCCTCGGCAAGCATGGTTTCAGTGCCTGGGCCTGTAACAAACAGGCCTCGGGTTCTTCATCCCAGCTTGTCTACACCAACTTATTAATGATTCTTCAGTCGACCACACCTGCTTCAGATTTCCCTGGCCCGGGGTCATTGCAACGTCTAGAGGGCTATTAACTGTTGCCCCCAACAAGCGAACGTGGGATTTAATACCGACTTCGGCTTCCATCAGTAACGCTCAGACGTTCCGAGGCGGCTGGAAATTTTGCAAGATGTGCATGCTTCTTGTCGGCATGGCAAGACTACACTGGGCCTTTTTTGAATTCATAATACTGCAAACAGTCTTCCCTCTGCTATCTGACTCATTTAAGCACTTTTGTCGGTTGATCCAAGAAGTAAGCTTACTGTTAGGGTATTGCTACATTTAGATAGGGTCACGTGTGATTAGGGAATCGCGTAGAGCGCAAACGCGTCTGTATTTAGTTACTCTCTAGCCTCAGGTGGACCACCTTTCCTCCTTGTAGACAATCTCATTCACCAGATTTGACCTCGTCAATCTTCCACGTACCCATACCTTGACACTTACAATGTCGCGGCCAGGGAAGAATCCGTCGTTCCCTCGCCCCGCTCCATGATCACAGTCCCAATCCCTCCAGTCAGCCGAACCGCTTAAGCCATTCTTTCCGTCACGGGACGAGACATGATCAAAATTGGCATTATTGTAGAGAGACGATACCTGGCGTATTCGACACAATGCTGTGCGTCATGGAATGACGTAAACAAAGGACTCATTCAAAAACACCCACATTCAGAAAAGTTGACCCCGTGGATTTTTATTTCAAAAGTTGACAGTATATTGTGACCGTAATGACGGTATTCCTACGAGAGGAAATAATGGCGTAACGCCCTGCGCGGGTTCTAGAGGTGGCAGCGTCGCGACAAAGGCGCCCAAGACACGAACGTGTCCCTGAAAAGATTCAAGGACGCAACTAAAGGCAAAGAGCTCTCCTGTAGAGAATATAGAAGAGTAATCGAAGAGGCTATCCAAGTTATCGAAAGCCTTCAGAAAGCGAAAGTCTCCCCTTCTAAACCGACGTAGACAAGCCACAGTGATAAAAATTCTGCAACGGCTAAGATACTATAGAAAATAAAAGGCATCAAAGCCATCATCGCACACTATCGGGCACCTATGCCAGCCCGGGGCCGCTCTCGGGCAAAAGTTGCAAGCGAAGGAGAGTTCTATGGAACTACAATCCGTTTCCAAGATGAGCAGGAAAAGATGGACATAGCCAAAATCTCGAGCGAGGAACTGGTCTATAAGATAGGCATACAGCAGATTACAGGCGCTAGACAAATGACTAACGTCCAAGTAAAGGTCTATTTTGCAGGTGAAGGAACAAAAGAGTTGACGGAGCACCACCAAGAATGAACAACCAATCTAGCTCCTTTTACTCAAGTCGCGGGCCCCGTATACCAAGTGCTAGTCCACGACATGCCTCTCTCCTTCGAGCCTGATAACGTGGAACACCTAAAGCAGCTACGGAGAGCAAATGACATCTATATACAAAGAATGATAATCCAAAGAGCAGCATGGCTAAAGAAAAATCAGCAGTCAGGAAAAAAGTCGGGATTGCTGATTCTATAGATAGCACAGGCAGATCATGCGAATATGGCTATAAAAAAGACTTGATGTGGCAGTATGAACTCAAGTAAACAGAAATATTCAGGACTAGCTTTCGTATGATGCAATGTTTCAATTGCCAAAAGTACGGCCATATTGCTAAAATCTGTACAGCAGACTCGAAGTATGGCCATTGTGCAGGAGAGCACAACATCCAAAACTGCACGGGAAAAAAGATGTCTGATGTAGCAACTGTGGTAAAGGTCACAAAACATGGGATCAAAGCTGCTCAGTTAGGGTAGCTGCTAAACATAGGGCTGTCCAGAATAGGACTCAAGATCCAGGAATGTTTGGGATCGACGAAACATCGACAAGACATCAAGATGGCAAATGGTAGATTGTAGGAAGTAGGAAAAGAAGAGTAATATCGACTGCACCACTAAATGGGGCGGATGGCAATATAGCTGGTCCTAGGCGCCAAGGAAGACTATGCAAAATATCATTCGCCGCCAACGGTGGCAGGGCTTTTTGCTAATCTCAACGGAAAGCCACAATTCACCACCCCCGGCCTGTGATACGGGGAAATCAAGCAGATGATACCGAAAGCGAGATGGAACAATGAAGGGCACATCAACCCTATCTATCATATAGTACAACGTTAATAGGAGTAAGAATAAAGTACAGCAACATTTCCCTCAAGCTTTGAACCCACGGGAGCATCAGATAGCAGCGTCGCAAGAACCATGGCGTCACACCACAGAAAATACGACTGTCACCCACCCTGCCT